GGGTAACTCTCTGTTACATCCTGGGCATGACACGCTGTGGTATGGAATACCTCTTTGGCTAGTTTGGGTCAGGTGTCCTGTCTCTGCTTCCTCCCAGCTTCCCCTCCTCCCTGGCAGAGCATGAAGCTCAGAAAGTCCTTGGTCAGACTAAAACATCTGTGTTATCAGCTCTGCTCCCAGGCTGAAAGTCAAAACACAGCACTGCACAAGCTACTAAGAAGGATAAAAATGACTGCTACTGCTGAACCCAGAACATAGATATAAGGAGGAAATTCTTTACTGTGAGAGTGATGAAGTACTGGAACAGGTTTCCCAAATAAGTGGTAAAGGCTCCATCCCTGGCAGTGTTCAACGTCAGGTTGGACAGAGCCTTGGGCGATATGCTCTAGTGTGAGTTGTCCCTGCCCATGGGGGGGTTGGAGCTAGATGATCTCTAGGTCCTTTCGAACTCTAACCATTCTATGATTCCATGAAAACTCCACATATGGTGTCAGAGCTTGTTTAAATGGCCATATAGCACATATACTGTTTCCTCTTTATGCACTAAACCTGCTGTCTTGCCAGAGAAGGAAACCATATGGCTTCAACATAATTTGATCCTTACTTGTTACCATCTTAGTAGCTGTTAGGTGTTGATAAATTAATTGCTTAATAATTTGTTCTAGTACATTTCTGGGAATGAAAACTGTACTGACCTGATAATTTCCTGGGTTGTCCTCTTCTTAAAAATAGGTATAATACCTGCCCATACACACTGGTTTTCTAACTCATGTGACCTCCATCAGTTTTTGAAAACAATAACTAGTAGTCCATATACATATTCAGCTAGTCATTTAAACACTCTAAGTGATCTCATTGTACCATTTCCATTAAATTGACTTCTTGAAATAATGGTTAGTCAATCCTTTTATTCCATACCCTCTGGTTAAAATTGATTTTCTCAAATAGCTGGTCAACTAACCTATTCTGCTAAAGCAAAAGAAGCCTTTTTTGTATCATCTACTATCTCTCTCCTTTCCTGCTAAGTAACAATAGTATAAAAAAGCAAAGGAAGTTACTTTAATTGCAATCTTTTTGTTGCCTTTTATGCTGTGATGTACCTTAACCTTTCTGACATACTGCTAGATGACTCTGCTGTTCTTTTCTACTCACTTCCAGTCGTGGGGTTTTGATGCTACATTTTGTGCAATTCATTTTTACTTTTCAGGAAGCTATATTATTCCTTTATTCTACTTCTACTTTAGGGTAATTTTCTGTTCTACCTTAAGCACAGCCAATGCAAGATTTTCTGCACTCCTTTTGTCCCTAAAATTCCTTTCCAAGGTATCCTACTTACCAGATGTCTGAGCTCACTGAAGTCTATCCTTTCTGAAATCCATTATCCTACTTTTTTTGCTCTCAGTCCTCCCTTTTCACAGTATATATTTTGCGATAATGAAATTTCTAACCAATTCCTCTCTTAGTCAAAATCAAATCTAAAGTAACCGTTACCCTCTTAACTTTCTTCATCTTGTAGGCTGAGCCTGGCCAGCAGCTAAGCACCCACACAGTCACTATCACACTCCACTACTGTTGTCCCCTGTTGGGATGAAGAAGAGAGTAGGAAGAGCAAAATTGAAAGCCTCATGGGTTGAGATGTAGTGTAATATGGGAGGGAAGGAAGGAAAAAAACAAGTGTTGCAAAGGCATTTACTTTCCACCTCCCACAAGCAGCCCAGGCAGTTTCCAAGCAACAGCTACCTTGGAAAGAAAACCTCCCCAGTTTTTGTTTCTGAGCATAATTTTATATGCTATAGAATGTCCTTTTGGCCATCTTGGGTCAGCTGCCTCAGCTGTATTCCTTCCCAACTTATTGTCCACCACAGCCTGTTCACTGAGAAGGCAGAATAGGAAAAAGAGAAAGCCTTAAGGCTGTGCAAACACCATTCAGCAACAACCAAAACACTGGTGTGTTTTAGTAATAAATCCAAAACACAGCACCATATGGGATCCTATGAAGAAAGTTAACTTCATTCCAGCCAGACCCAGGGCAACATTTTGAAATAAATAAATGTTCTCAGCCTTGTCAAGGACTTTATAAGCCATTGATCTCCTCACATGTTATTACGGCTACAAATACTGAGATACTGAAATTTCTCCATTACCAGCAGATGAAAGCTTCTGTTAGTTGCTCAAAAAAGCCTCTCAGTCTTCTAGAGAAATAGTCTGTACTAGATCCATGAAAGGACACAAACTAAGCTCTCTTTTCTTTTTAAAGTTACCTCAAAAATTTTCACAGGTGTCATGGTTTAAGTCCAAACGGTAACTCAGAACCATGCAGCTGCAAGCTGATGAGCTTTCTGCACACACTCCACCCCCTCCAACTCTCCCAGAGAGATGGGAAGGAGAATTGAAAGAATGCAAATCCCTTGGTTTGAGATAAGAACAATCTGGTAACTTAGGTATAATACAAAACCATTGCTGCTACCACCAATAATGATAAGGGGAATAACAAGGGGAGAGAATATAAAACTGAAAGGTGAAAAGGAAAAGAAAACAATAAACACTAGTGATGCACAATATGATTGCTCACGACCCACAGCCCAACCCAAGCAACGATCTGGCCTCCTGGGTAACTGCCTCCAGTTTCTATACTGGGCATGACATGCTGTGGCATGGAATAACCCTTTGGATAGTTTGGGTCAGGTGTCCTGTATCTGTTTCCTCCTTTCTTCTTGTGCCCATTCTCACTGGCAGAGCATGAGACTGAAAAGTCCTTGATCCGGGTAAACATTACTTATCAACAACTAAAAACATCGGTGTGTTTTCAGTAGTGTTCTCAGACTAAACTTGAAAACACAGCACTGCAGCACCTACTAAGAAGAATAAAAATGACTGCTACAGCTGAACTCAAGACAACAGGTCTTTCTCTTATCCCTGTCTTGTCTGTAGAACAAGTAGTTATGAGAAACTATTCAGAACCTCAAAGGCGGAAGTGAATTTAAATGCTAGAAACCACAGAACAACTTCAAAAATATTTTGAAATACTGATACAGAGACACAGTTGACCATTGCTACCAGGAACACCTACATACTTCAACAGCTTGCAGTTGAGAGCAATTATAATACAGGTGGTATTCTCTCCTCCAAAAATAATATTTCTATCACTTCAGTTAAAGGCAACTGTATGATATTAAAGGCAACTATATGATAATACTTCACATCAATATTTTGCAGCATGCAGGCTCAGATCTAAAATGCTCCTGGCTGCCTCATTCTGAGATCACACCTGTGAAGTTTTCAGACCAACCCAGGCTTGAAAAAGTCCTGCCAAAGTGTGTCTGATTTCACTGATGAGCTGTTGGTCTCCGAGCCAGTCTACCTGCATTTCAGCCACTGCAGAAATCAGTCCTGCCTCCTTTAACGGATCTGGAGCATAAACTCTGTAGTACTTTATGAGAAGTGAGGTTTATCGAGCACAAAGGTATGTGTGCATGTTTGCATGTTAACAATCCCCTTAACAATCTGTAGTCCTTCACTAAGCTTAATTGTATTTGAAAAAAAAAAAAAGGTGAGGGTTTCTTCAAGTTTATACAAACTGTATGAAAAAAGATATCTGGGAATAGGAGAGAGATGCTGTAACTGCCCTCCTGAACACTCAAGGAAGAAGACCAGTCTTGTTAGAAGTTGATTCTCACCCTTGACACACAAATCAATGAGAAACCCGCTCTGTTGCTTTGAAATGATTGATTTCATTGATTTCTGCAAACAAAAAAGTCACAAGAATGAGGACACAGGCAAGCAATAAAGCATAAGTTTTAAAATTTATGTGCATGCTGTGATCATTCCATCTAAACATCAGTCAATAAGCATCAAAATATTGCTTGTTGGGCTTACTCCTAGTTAACTCTAAAATAAGAAAACAAAAAAAAATCCCATTGATTGTAGTATTAGAAGTGGAAACATCAATGAACCACACCAGACTTTTGATAGTAAGTTTAGTAAATGACAGAGTTATATTTTCATTGTGTATTTCAGTATAATTTTGTTAAACATAAAAGATATAGGCCTAAAGTCTGGTCCTCTTTTCCTGCATTTCCATTTTCCATTTGGAAAAAGTGAAAGGAGGTACGGATGGAAATTTAAGTTTCCAGTGCATAAGTGAATAAGTAAACAAACATCTTTTTAATGCAACACATACTTAAATTCAAAGCTTGAATTCCAGACTGAGCACTTGGGTGCGGCCTTACAGCACTTAATATTCATCAAGCAGAACCTCAGTGGCCTTAGTATCTGTGGAACAAAACCTGTGCAAAGTGCTTGCCTTCTGCGACTTCATCCTGAAGGAGTGTCACTGTCAAACATCTTTTCAAACAGCTTCTTAGTATAGCAAGACTCTATGTGTAATACCTCTTGCAGTGTTAAACAAATCCTTTGGGTTGTTTTTGCACTAGCAAATAACATCCATGGTGTGAATACTAAGAAGGCAAAGACCAGTAAAGCATATTTTGGCTTCAGTAAAGCATAAAGTATTTTCACTAAGAAAACTATGGTGTGACTGATTTAATTTTATCTATTCTTCTGCATGCCTGTGTTATCATCTAATTATTCTAAGTATTTTACTTTTTTAGAGCAAACACAAACTCTGGTGTTCGTTTTCAACTAAAGGAGGCATTATGTGAATAGTGTGATCTTTGCATCTAAGTATCAGTCAGGAATTTTGTTTGTTGTGCTTACTCCTACTTTTTAAGACAGGCAGTCATTATGTCTGAAAGTTAGAATATCGAATGAGTCCAAAGATAGATACACATACTGTCAGACACTACAATACTGTCTCATACTCAAAACTTTTCGGTGTGTATAGGAATTTGATTGTATTTTGTATGGACATCAAAGAATGAATGAAAAAAATATTCCTTGGTCTCATTCACAGCCTACACTGTGACATTGGGAGATATATTTAAGGTTACAATATTTTTCCTAATAGAATTGAACTGTAGTAAGTTAAGATGAAATCTCACCTGTAAAGTGCTGAAAGTGGCCGCTTGTTGCCAGGTTTTGGTCTGTATGGTTTTGGCTCGCCTGCCATGTTGATATCTGAAAGCAAACATTTGATATTAGCAAGTCAGATGCTTGGAAGTTAGACTGAGTTTGTAAAGGCACTTTCAAGTCACTGAAAATGAACAAAAGTGAAAATGGACAGCATACCTAAAACATCTATCTGGTTTTAATCACCTCTGAATTGGTTATAGAACACGCCTTAAAAAATCTTACTGTAATGGATGTGTATTTTAGGCAAAATGTCAGCTAATGGTAACAGAGAAAAATGACATTTTTTAAACATACAGGAGTTTCCACTCATGGAGCTGAAGATGGTAACATATTACTATTACAGGAGGAGACTTGATTTGTAACTTAGATGCTGAGACAAAGTATGATCTGTCAGATTGTGCTGTGGAGGACTATAATGGTTCCAATGAGTTCCCCTTTAGGTTCTAGAGAAATGCACTCTGATCTTGGTGCTACTTCACTGTGCACTCAAAACTTTTCAAAAGCAAAGAAGAGAGTATATATTTTGTACCTCCAATAGTTGTTTTTTTTTTTTTTCTGTTGTTTTTTTGTGAGTAGAGAAACACACTGGCTTTAAACATCATATGCAGAAAGAGACACTCAGTTTTGACATGCTTTATCCTAGGCAGGTACTTATAATTCTCAACACCAGATATCTTATGCACACTTTTTAAAAGTTCACTTACATTATTTCTAAGTATTTATTCTAGAAATTTAAAAATATGTCAAGCTATTAGTTGTGCAGGTACTCCAATTACTCCTTTCTTCTGAATCATACTCAGAAATGTACAAGGAAATACACATTCATCATTCTAATTGCTTGTAACAGTTGCTCATGGAGAAAGAAGCACAGACCTTTCTGTGGAGATTACCTTACCTGAGCTTAGGAAGTTGCCTGTATAAACAAAAACCTACTTCAGAAAGCAGTGAATGTTGCAAAGTTGACATTGCAAGAAATCACAAGTAAAAGTTCTGTTTAAGAAACAAATTCCATGCCATCTGAGTGATGCTACAGACAAATTTCTCCTCAGTTTCACTAATATACAAAAGAGTAATAGTCAATAAAATAAGAGCTATTTCAGTGTAAAAGTGCTGGGACAGAACAATGTATCCCGTTTACTGTGGAATCACCTGATGATTGAGGCTTTAAAGGAAACACATATTCTTGGTAAAATATGTTTAAACTGAAATTGAGTGTAGTAGAGGGAAAAGAGTAGTAGAAAGCTGAGGTGTAGAATGAGGAAGATAGATATTCTTGATCCCAAAAGCTGCAATAAAAGCCTGAAACTTCATGACTGGATACATTTATTAAAAAAAAAATCCAGCTGATTTTTTTTTAAATCAATCAATCAATCAATCAATCAATCAGAAACATTGAAAATGTGTGTCCAGAAAATATGTGAAAGAAAAGATTTTTCCATTGGAAATGTCATGCTTCAAATAAAAAACAAAAAAAAACCACCCCAAAATCCCACCATATTTTCCAATCAAGTTTGATATTTTGAGCTAAACCAACATTTATTTTAAATTATACAAGGTCCTGAAACGACAAGTTTTGGTGTAGAATTATTTCATACAAAATATACTTTTTGTTAAAATTTTCTCCATATGAAGCATTTTGGAATTAAATCTGACTGTAGTTCTTTTGGTAAGAGCTGTATTACTTGTAAATCATAGTTTTCCATAAAATATTAAGTTTTTTTTTACTTATCTCTCTGAAGTTGGATGAATACTGAAGACACTTCTCATGCCTTCTCAAAATGCTTTCCCTCCCTTTATTTTAAGGAAGTGCTTTGTTAGGTATAAATTAAACTTTTTTTTTGATTTTTTTTTTTAAATTGAGCTATGCTTCCCTTATTTAAAGAAATATAAATTCTAATTTATAATTAATGTTGACCCATCCTTAAACTGAAACATAAACATCAAACATTTCTGGAAGCCACTGAGAAATTTTGACAGCTGTGCTGCATTTCTGTTGGTTCTTTGAAATACCAGAATTGGAATGAAATTTTTATCCTGTGACCTTTACAATAATTGCAGCTTTTCACATTATTTTAATATGTCAGATTTAAGGTCATTGACTGTATTGACTCCTACAACAACTAGCTCAGATTTTGGGAAAATGTAAAATTAAATTCTGTCTTGGGATATACATGAGGCTGTGGGATTCATCTTCACATATTTTTCATGTCTCTCATCTGTTTGTCTTCCAGAGCTACAGTCCAGTTTACTATTCTTAGCCATATGACTTTAAAGACTTTTTCATATCCTTCCAGGAGAGATCAGTACAAAGACAAGTAGTGTAGAAGACTAAGGGCTGTTTGTTATGTGTTCCCTTTATTTTAATCAAACACTGTCAGAAGAGTAATGCTGTAAGAAAATACTGCTGCAAAGCTGCTCAGAATTAGTTAAGATTCCCTCACACTTAAATAAATCTGTAAATGTACCAGCAGAAAACAGTGAACTATGTTATACAGACAGTAATAGCTAGGATTTCTCTTTAACACAAGAAATAGTTCATAGAAAAGCTGTGCACATGGGGCTTTTCCATTAATATGAAAGAGATTGAACAGCTCTGCAACTCCCTAAGCACCTTGAAACAAGGCTAAGAATGGATGTAGGAAATAGTTTGAAAAGTTAGAACAGATTTTCGTTCCATTATTTTTCACCACTGTCTACTCCAACCTCAAATTTCTAACTAAAATTAGAAGTGAACTTGTCAACATTTCACAGGATAGATTATTTCTAGCCAAAGTGGAAATCTTGTGAGATAACTTGTTCTCTTGCTTCATCTATCATTAGCTTCACAGCAGACATTTACATCTATTAGGTCATAAACTGTGTGTCAAATAAATTTGTTGACTCTAGCGCCCTAATGATTCCACCCGAAGGAATGTAGAGTGGTATCACTCATGCTGTAAAATTAACTACTTGTACATGAATATGAACCAGACAACCTGACAAAGGGCACAGACTTCCACATTGCTTCTATGTGGGCATGGAGCAGCCTAGGGACTCTCACATTATTTCCTCTACTCATATGCTACAAATTTTCACTCAGTCATCATCTTTAAGATAAATTCAGCACTGAAATTCAAAATATTAAGGAATTATTATGAATAGAAAAGTGACTGTGCAGACAACAGCACATTGTAATGCAGCAGCCTGCTCCCTCTATTCTTTCAGAATCAAATGAGATTATTAAAAGAAATTCATCTTCAGGTCTATCTATTGCTGTTAACGCAGCATAGGTTAGGTAAGGTAAGAGGTCTAGATTTCATTCAGAGTTGTGTGTCATCAGAAGAATATATCTAATTTTGAACAAGGTGTTTTTCTTTCTGATTGTACTGAAAAGTGCCTAGCAGTTAAAGGGGGTGAAAAAAATGCAAAGCATTTAGAGAGAGCAGTGATTGTATCCAGTGGCTACACAAATAGTCTGAAAGATCAACTCAACAAAACATGGTCTATCTCCTACCACTTTTTCCTACCATTGCCTGCCTAGCTACTCTAGGCAGTAATGTCCACAAAGACTCTGGACTCCCTCCCATTTTTTTGAGAGGCAGTATCAGCTAACCTTGAAGCTTTGCTCATAGGTTTGATGTCAAAGCAATCTGACAACTGGGTCCTGAAGACAACAGTTGCCTTTAAACCAGCTTTGTAAGTGCAAGCAATGATACCTAAGGAGTATTCATATGCCAGAAGTATTTCAGTACTTCTCAGCATACCAGTCTTTCAGACTCTTTGAAAAGTTTTATTGAAAAAAAAAAACAACAACCCAAAGATACAAAATCAATCAATCATTTTGTCTCACAAAAATAAATGCCATAAACTAGAAGCTTCAGTGGGCATTAGCTCAACCCATGAAAACTGTGACTTTGAGGATTTATTAAATCCAGGACCTGTTTCAGACTACAGCTATTGAATAAAATTAAATAGTACCATTCCCAGGCACTAGTACTCGGTTATCTCTTTTACTAATTGTTAAAGTGGCTTCTGGCATGACTTTTAGTGCCAATTAACAAGTATTCTCCTATGCAATTTCTAGACATAGGTAGAGAATGGACATGACCTTGGGATATTGGCAATTTAGCTGTGGCCACTCTGCTTTGCAGGGTAAGGCCTAGTCAAAAAGAATGATTCCAAGTACCTCTAATTGCATATTACTGATGTGTGTGGGATCCATGTCAGAAAGACTAGAAACAAAGACCTACAGCTAAGAAAACTCATAGGGCCTCTGTAGCTCAACAACTAATTTTCTAAGACTTGTTTCATCAGATTTCTTCCACCCATTCTTGTGGATGGTTGCAGAAACAAAGACATTTCTTAATAAATTCCTCAGCTGCTTGCCTTAAAGTTTTGGGTGAAAAAGGGAGTCATTGTGTACTTCCAGACCAGCTCTGCTTTTAGACCAACCTTTAATGGAAAATACAGTAATCAAAATGAATGTACAGAAAAATAATTTGGACAATGAACATACAATTTACATCCAGACAGAGACAGGGACACAGGGTGATCAGGATGCATTTTCTTCTTTTTCAGATGACCAAAAATATATGGGATAGAAGAGCAAGACAAAGAAGCAGATGCAATTTAGAGATAGCATCTAGTCATGTGATTTATAGCACAAGTGACCAAAAGAAAAACTAAAGCTAATCTGTCTTTCTTTTATATTCTTCCATCTACCAGTCTTACAAATCTCCTTGCTGCATGGTAACGGGATTTTAATGAAGTCATATGATATTTTTTACATGATAAACTTATTTTTTTCTTTATACGTCACACTAATTACATGGCATGTCCTCCCTTTTCCCATCTCTAACGTGATAAAAGCAGAGAGGAAAGGACAGTTCTCAGTTTTGTTCAAGTCCGTGCCCAAATTGTACAGCTGTAAAGAAGAAACTCCCCAGAAAATTTACACAAACTCAAATTAACTTTCAAGACTAGTAAAATATTAAAGGAAGGTTTGAATCACACATTTTTCTTTTTCATAATGGCATTAAAAATAATTTGCTTGTGGGGCTCTGAGC